GTTAGCTTCTAAATCTGCCTTTCTATTTGCAGCCATTATTTACTGCATAGCAGTCAAAACTACTGTAACCGAATCAAATTGTTCATTACCTACCCTCCGAGTATTTCTGGTATTCACTATGATATTACACATGTTACAAAAAGGAATGAGTTAGCTACGCTCACACTTAGTGCTCACATATGCAACATCATATTAAACACCATAATCACTCATTAAGCTTCCTGCTGTATTTCACCTTCAATATCATGACTCTACATTCATCGTACTAAGAATGAGTCATCACCCACACTCAGTACTCAGAGATATATCATCATGTCACACTAGAAATCAATTCACTAAACCAACATCATACTCAACCTATCCTATAATGTCTCTCCCTAGAAAGTTTTTGCTCTGATACCACAAATGTAACAACTCAGTTCATGATTGGTTAGTTAGCATGCATATGGTATAGAAACGCCATATGATTAATGCTTAAGCGGAAGACTTAACCTATAAAAGTATCACCGTTATCCGCATAACTAAGTGATTAACTTTTTCTTTTAATCATCTTTACATATTTCATCGCATATTTTTCCTTTTAAATTATTATAATCTGTACAGTCCCCATACCTTCACAGATTCCTAATTATTTTCGTAACTGTCTTTGATAGTTAAAATACGATTCAGATATGATATCTAGTACCATTTCGAACAGTATCTAACGGACAGCATAACAGCTGTAAACTGGACCTAACCAGGGATTAATTCCTACAATTATCTTGTGCCTGAAAAACAAAAATATACAGATACTGTCCCACTCAATGGACTAAAAATGGCTCTGTGGCAATACACTCATCAGCTATATACAAATACTTTATCACATCGTAACCTAAGGCTACACATGCCTCTGAAAACTATAACAATTATACAAATGCATGATTACTATTCATGCCTCAAAACACACAAATACAACAATCCAGAACTATTATGTCTCTTCTCCAGCTGATTGTTTAGCCACCCTGCACAGCCTCTTGCCTTGAGAAGGCTCTCCTACTGCTGCTGGAACACCTGAAATATATCCTCATAACACGGGGTGAGAAATAAATCTCATAAACTTAGGGTTTATGGAGTAGTCTCTACACGTGAGTTCACTTCTTGCATGTAAGGTTAGATACATATAGCATAACATACATCATATAAGCCTATTAATTTATCATGTTATCTCAAATATCCAATCACATGTCATCACCTATATGAATGCAACTATACTAAGTATCTAATAGAATCCAATAGAAAAACATGCAGATATTGCAACCATGATCCTTTTAGACCCTGGTGGAACAACATAGAGGAAAATCCTCCTAAACCAAGAGCTTACCTTTTGAAGCTCCTATAGCACACTTACTTGAAACACAAGCAACTATGTCAAATCCTCAAAACTCTGATCAGGAATCACTATATCTTGATTCACACCTGCTACTCAAACATTTATCAGATTTGACTTTCACACATCCAATTATATCACAAAAAATTTTCTTGTCATTTCCACATTTCAATCTTGACAATTCATGCTCATACCACAAGTTAGACCTAAACACTCATTCGTTGACATTTAGACACATATTGTTAAACCTATATTCAAACACCATCGACTTGAGACTTAACCATTCAAACTTACTTGAACACTCTTCATTTTAGTTTATAGGGTTTAATTATTAATTAACTTCAATTCCAACCATATTAACTCAACATGGCCGAACCCCAGCTTGTCCATTTCAACACATTTTCATGCCTTCACAATAACAATCAACATTCCATTTACCAATTCATCATGCATCAAAACATATACTTAACCTTTTATGCAAAACCATTACTTTGTTGATTCTTTAATTAACAATTTACTTTCACAAGTTCAATCACTTACACAATCATTCAATTACACTTCATTATACACATAACATCATTCGAAATGAATTAAACATCATGGATACCCTATTAAACCTAAATGGCTGAAACATACATAGGTTAGTTCCATGAATTTTATGCATTCAAACTTTAATCCAATGACATCAAACTCTCAAGTACTCATTGAATCCATGTTACAAACACTCATTTAATCATTTTACATACAAACCCTAATTTAATTAGGTATGTTCGAATCATAAGCATACACAAAGGGCTATGTAATTCATTATGTTTTTATCACTTGAATCATTAACAAATCATCACAAAATCCTAATTCCATCATCATTCATATATAAACACATCATTATCATACACTTAGCATGCATGGCCAAAATTACAACTTGAAGAATCAACACTTTGCATGCATTTTTCTTAACATATAAACCATTGATTCAATATACAATCATCAATTAAACATCATCAAACCATATCAAACCCAATTTACTATTCATGGCCGAAATTCAAAGTTAGGGTTAGGTTACTTTCTTGCAATTTTTCAAGAATCCAAGATGTTGTCTTTTGTTTACATGATTACTCAACCAATTTCCAAAACAAAACCACTTCAAAATTCATCATCAACATACATAGAAATTCATGTTAAACACAAGAACACTTAGCTTCACAAGTCATTTTTCAACCAACTAATTAATATCAATTACCTTGTATAGCTTCTTTTAGGTATCCTTAAACTTTTTCAACACAAAATCCAAGCAAAAACTTATCCAAAACACCATAGGGCAGCAACCATATACAACCTTTAGGAGAGGATATCTCACTCAAAACAAGGCTAGAAGATGTATGGTTTTAGGGGTTTAGCTCACAAGCTTACAAGGAATCTTTTTATGTTGAAACTTTCTTGAAATAATGGCCAAAAATCAAGTTCTATCAAACACTCTCACACCATGGAAGCTACGGTCATGAAGGAGAAGAAGAAGAAGATATTTTGTGTGTCTTGAAGAAAGAAAGGAAAGATGACAAGTGGTTTGAAATTCAAAGGCTTAATGGTTAAGTTTTATACTTCTTCACTTTTTAACTTAGATATTTTTATCCAACTTTAACCAAGCTTCCAAGACAAGTCTCCCACTTTTCCCATCAGATTTTTGTGCGTGGAAATGAGGCCAAAGGAGATACAAACCGACTTGCACATGTAAAGGTAGTTTAGCACACAAAATTTGACTTTTTACATGTATAAAGTAACTTAATTCTCATTAGGGGTGTAAATGGGCCAGGCTGGCCCAGCCCAGCCTACGGCCCGACCTACATTGAGCCCAACCCAGGCCCGATCTTTCAGAAAAGTAGAGCAGGCTTAGGCTTATAAAAAAGCTTTTTTAATAAATAAGCCATAGGCCAATTTTGTCAAGCCCAGCCTACAGCCTTGTAGGCTGGCCTATTTAATTTATTAAAATAAAATAATAAAATAATATTTATTTTATGTGGCAAAGACACATACCAAATACCAATATCTCTTACTTTTTGTGCTATTTTACTTTATGAAAGGAAAACTTGTCTAATGTCTCCAAATTTTACATGCTGTTGCAGCTTAATACCATGGAGCAATGGATACCTTGCTGGATTATGATGTTACTGATGAAGATCTTTCAATAATACTCTTCTTTCCCTTGTCTTGATGGTGGTTTAAAGATTTTTAGATGAATGACATTCTCTTGTAGACTTTATTTCAGCATCCAGTAATTGTATTTTTCTTATTTTTCCCATTTCTTTGACTCTATTTCTCTATGATATACATTCTAGAGCTGAGGTATTATGTTGACTCTTTCTTGTTTATCATTTTTTTCTTATGAGAAGTACTAGTGCATGCATGAATGGAACTTTCTTTGCTCTATACAATTATTTTTTTTGCTTAGTATATTTAGTGGGAGGCCTACAAGGCCTGTAGGCTATGTCAGGCTTTCTTATTTTTGAAAATGGGTCGGGCTTGGCCTACAAATAAAGCCTTTAATAGGCCAGTAGGCCAGATAGGCTGAATTTTTTTTTGACGTAGACTTGGGCCAAGATGGCCAAAGCCCAACCCATTTACACCCCTAATTCTCATTTATTTTCACTTTACACATCACACACTTGAACTTTTGATCAACCAATCACACAATAACAGAATTACACATTACAAATAGCAAACAAAGCAAGACATTCATCTTTGACCAAAGATTAAGCCTATGTGCAAAGTTAAAGCTTACTTTTTAACCTAATTGACTTTTTAATTAATCAATCTTTGACCTAATTATTTAAATTATTCTAGACAACATTTAATTAAATTAAAGATATTTTTATCTCTTAAAATTCACCAGAGAATTTAACTAGATTGTCAGAACTCAGTTTAGACCTAGTTTGAAAAATTACCAAAATATCTCCGTTATCACAATTTTGGTATTTACGTCTCTAAACACAACTTATGCTCTTATTAGGTCCTAATTTACTTGCTAGGCATGAATTCTATCTCTTTATTCATTATCATGATAATTTCATGATTTAACTGTTAGAATCCTCTTAACAGTCACAAAATTCACACACTGTCTCACTTACCTCGATTTAACACATCTTGAGATTTAGGGTTGTTATAAACATCATGATCTTGAAAGAGGGCGAGTAAAAATGTAGAAATTTGGGGAAGTTTTATCACCGGCTAGATCTTTTTGAACCGATGAGTCACCGGTAATGATACTCGGTCGATTCAACCCGATTCATACCAATTTGTTAACATGTCCGATCCGGTATGATACCCGGACCGATCACATGGACGGTTTACCGGTTTCCGATTCAATTTGACTGGTCCGATCCAATTTTTATAACACTTGTTACAACTACCAACATTATCTATTTCCATAGGATAACATAGGTGATAAGAGATAACAAGGCATACCAATCCTAAAGTTGAGCCCAACTATGATATTTAAGTTATATAATTGTGCATTTAACTCGTATCCAACTGTGTCCCAAACAAATAAGAGCATTCATATGTAACTTCAAGGTTAGAATAGTGAACATCATTTTATGGGAACCAAACAAGCAACATTTTTCTTAAGCAGAAAGGTAGAACAAGTTTTACAATATACAAGCAGATAGAACAAATTTTCCACAAGAATCCTTGTTATTGGTTTATATAGAACATAATCTAGCCCAAGGTTCTAGTCAAACCATAATATAATATACAGCTATTGCAATGGCCAAGTAACATGAAGATATTGTCTCAGCCAAAGCAGCAAAAGACCAACGAAAACATTGAACTATTAAATGATATTTGGTAGACGGATTAGCCAATCATCGGAGTCTCGATGACCTTTTTAGATTCATCAACATACAATCGAACTCGCTGGGTTTTGTAATCACAAGTGACACCATAATTAGGCAGAACCACTCGAATTTCAACCCCAGCCATCTCTTCCTTTATCTTTTTCTCTGCTTCTTCTGCAGTGACTCCAACCAGCTCAGGCCAACTTGTTTTTGTAGGATTATTTGTCCCCAGAAGCTGGTTGTAAGACCCTGCAACCACATATTTTGATCCCACTTGATGAATTAATTTGGCTTCGCATTGAATATTAGAAAAGAATAAAATTAACACTCACTTGGCAAGGACTCATTAGGTTGCTCTTGAGGAGGATTAGTTCCGTATCCTTGTTTTTCCTCAGCCATAAATACCAAAAAACAGAACACTTTTCAAAATATCCTTTGCTGATCTGTGAGGGGTATGAAAGTTATCTTAAGCCTAAAGCTTTAAGTAGGGACTAAGAAAATCTATTACTCGATAGGGTTGGTTCTTTCTAGCTTGGCACCTCTTGGATATTTGTTTAATGAGACGAGTAAGCCGGTTTTTCCAATGCTATGTGCCTCGAATTTGTGGTGTCATGTAAGCTAACTTGGACTATACGTTTGGTGTATATAATGGTGGTGACATGCAAATAATTTACTAGTAAAAGGGTTTCAAGAAAAAAAGTCAAGATAATATCTTTGCTCTAGCTAGTATATACCTTTTGTTATCAAAAGTAATTGGGAATTGTCAAAAGATTTAGGTTCAAATTCAAAAATAATTCTATATTCAATATGGAATTTACGGCCTGGAATAGAAGTTGCAGCCCGGAAACCGATAAATTGCATTTAAGTAACGTAGAACACATTAACATACTTTGTATTCAAAGTAAATTGCCGTGTACTTGTGTTCATTGAAATGAATGTCAATACCAGGAAATACCCGAATCAGAGATTCAAGCCACGTTACGTTTGCATGTTCACTCTGCTCCAGAGCTTCTTTTGCCTTGATGTCATCATTAAACATTCTAAGAGCACCTATTGTTGACAAAGAGTTCACTAAATAAAGGAAAATGGGAGTAAAGTCTACAATTAAGAAGGAGAAATGACATAAATAGTAATGAAACCTTTGGTTTGATTTCAATCTACCTAATTAAATTTCAGTAAAGGAAGAGAAAGAGACCAACTCCCTTTACATTCTTTATTTTCTCATGCAGTACGAAGGTGCAGCCACTAAACAAAGAATCCTACTTATTTTACATCACTTTGTTACCTTCTCATTTGGCAATGAGGCAACAAGTCAGACTGTGATCATAGCACACATTCTTTAACACCAAAAACTAAGTATGTTCAACTATCCTGATCTCCATTAAAATCCCAAAAGCAAAATTCAGAAGCCAACTCAGCTTGCCAACAAGAGGCTTGATAGTAAATCTCGTTACCAAGCATATTTCAAAAGGGATATGGTGGTTCAGGCATAATCTCAAACAAGTTAAGAGCAATTAAACAAACATCAAAAAATTACATTAAAGTAACAGTTTGTCCCATCTCATAAGACAATTCCATCCTGGGCCAACCAACAATCCACATTTCAATTGAGAGCAAAAAATTAATAGACATTTTCTGCCACAAAATAAAATTTTAATTCAAGAAAATGAGAAATCAATATTCGTTATTAGATGTGATGATGAACTTCTTTAAAAATATTTATTCACCAGGCTTTGAAAAGTATATTTCAGCCACATTTCAATTAAATATTTTCTTGATGAGTACAGCTGCATTTCGATTTTCAAGTTAAAACTACCTACATTATCTATTTCCATTGGACATAATAGGTGATCAAAGATAACAAGACAAATACCAATCCTAAAGTTGAGCTCAAATATGATATTTATGTTATATAATTTACAATTTAACTCGTATCCAACTATGTCGCAAGCAAACAAGAACAATCATATGTGGGGTATTTACCCTTTTAATTTTCCTATATGGTATTTAATTCTCGGTATTTATCAATGCGATCTTTAGTGTCACGGGGGGTCCCAACTATATTTAGTGTCGTGATTCTCCCTCCGGCACTGTCGTAAATTTTTTTTTTTTTTAAGCCGAGTGCCGCGACAACCCCCTCTTTGGCACTCACACGATTGTGAGCCACGTGACACAATCTCGTTACCATAGGCAATACTAATACTGTTACCGCAAAACTTCGGAAGACCGTAACTTTTGACTCAGATATCCAAATCAGATATTTTTTTATTTCACATAACTTTTCGAGATCTACACATTTGGCATATTTTATCTCTCTTAAACATAATTCGAATTTCTAACAAAGGTACCAAGACTTATATTTGAAGTATTTTGATGAGTTTAATATATATATATATATATATATATATATATATATATATATATATATATGTAAACTCATTATATATATATACATATATATATATATATATAGAGGTAGGATCCTTTGACACCGGTGTCAAATTTGAAATTTAACACCTCATCTGAGAGCCATTAGATAAAAAAAAAAAATCAATGGCTCTGATTTGTAAGCATGTGACACCGTTGATTTTTCTTGATCTAATGGCTCTCAGATGAGGTGTCAAATTTCAAATTTGACACCGGTGTCAAAGGATCCTACCTCGTATATATATATGGATAGGATATACTTACCACCAAAAAAGTTTACCACCTTTACAACCAACTTAATCACCGTTGATTTCCGTCAATCTATCGGTTATAATTTTTTGGAAATTAATAATTAATTAATAAATGCGACACAATAATTTTCAAAAAATTATAACCGTTAGATTGATATAAATCAATGGTGATTAGGTTAGTTGTAAAGGTTTGTAAACTTTTTTGTGGTAAGTATATTTTTTCCAATATATATATATATATATATAGGCTTTAATGTTTCTAAAGTGAATGTAGATAAGTTATCTACATTCGCTCCCAAAATGACGCAGTTTTGGGCTCACTGTATTATCTACATTGACTGCAGAAAAAGAGAACCCGTATATATATATATATATATATATATATATATATATATATATATATATATATATATATATATATATATATCCTTTGACACCAGTGTCAAACTTTAAAATTTGACACCAAATCCTAAATATTAATATCAATCAATCAACTGTTATGATTTCTGCTAATCAAACTTATTAATTAATTATTAATTTTCTATAAATGATAACTGTCGATTTGCAAAAATCAATGGTTAGGATTTTGATGTCAAATTTCAAGGTTTGACACTGGTGTCATAGGATTCTGCCTATATATATATGAAAAATATATTTCTTCAGACACTTTAAATAAAGTTATCTACAGTTACCCTTTATAATTATGTACTACTAGTAGTACATAGTTATAATATTAAAGTTTCTTTTTTCTCTCTCTCCATGTCAGCAGATAGGTTCTGGAAAGTGAATGAAGAGAGAGAAAATAACAACTTTAATGTTATAAATATGTACTACCAGTAGTACATAATTATAAAGGGTAGCTGTAGATAACCTTATCTGAAGTGGCTGTAGAAATATTTACCCCAATATATATACATATATAGATATATTAACTTCCTCGATTTTCAAACAGTTTTGCTTAGATTTTATTTTATTAAATTTCTATATGTTTTAGTTGCAACAAATAATAGTTAATTTCAAATTTTATTTTTGTGAAGAAAAGAAAACGAAGAAAAAGTGGAAGCAAAAAGGAAGAGCCCTAGCAATAGGGAAAGAAGAAACAAAGCAGAGATAGACGATAACATATTGGCCATGCTTGATGCCGCTGAAGCTATCGTCTATCCCTTCTATGTTACTTCTTTCTCTTCTGCCAGCGTTCTCCTTTTTAGGATAATAATATATGATGTTTGCCAATTTTTGGCGTTAAGAAGTAGAAACCCTTGATTTGTTTAGCTTTCTCGATTTTGAAATCAATTTTGTGCGAGACAATAGTTAAAAGTTGTCGAGCATTTTATTTTCTATCCCTGCTCTGCGGGTTCTCCATTTTTGCTCTCACTTTTTTTTCATAGTCTTTTTTTTGTGATTGTGGTTTCATTGTTACAAATTCGAACTATGTTTGTGAGAGATAAAATATGTCAAATAAGGTGTTATTGCGTAGAGCTCGAAAGATAATGTGAAATAAAAAAAATCATCTAATTTGGACTCCCGAGTCAAAAATTATGGCCTCATGAAATTTTACGGTAACGGAACTGCCTACGGCAACGAGATTGTATAACTTGGCACATATCTAAAAGGGTTTGTAAACTAAAATAAATAACGTTTTCGAAGTATGTATAGGTTATGGAGCTACTTGGTTGGTGATGTTAAGTGTATATGTTATGTTTTTTGCTTTAGGTATGAGTTGCAATTCTATATTTGAATAATGTAAATACAAAACCATGTTCAAGAAAGTAAAAATAAAATTTTATCTGTAATTATAAATCAATTATTGTGATTGCAACTGCGCTAAAAATCATAAACAATGTTAACAAATCGGTTATAGAACGGGACGTTACACGAATCGCGAAAGTGATTGAACATATGAGTTCTTCTCGATAAGATCTTCAAATCTACCTTACTCACTCAAATCCGATACACGAAGCTAAAACATCAAGATTATTAGAGGTTATGGATTTTAGAGAGAAGGGTCTAGAGCTGCTCGAAGTATTACACCAAAAGACATCAAGTTTGGAATGCTCAACAGTGTTACCTTCAACTTAAGAAACCCTATACATAATGCAAGCTATTGAGCTCCGGCCCATATAAGCCCACATAATCTTGTTTTCCCATATTAGACTTGTATGTAAATATATTATTGGATTATATTATTAATATATCCAACAACAAATAAGAGCAATCATGTATGACTTTAAGGTTAGAATAGTGAACATTAATACATGGAAACCAAACAACCTGAATTTTTCTTAAGCAGAAAATTAGAACAAATTTAACAATATAAAGGCAGATGGAACAAATTTACCACAAGAACCTTCTTATTGGTTTATATAGAACATAATATGTAGGCCAAGGTTCCGGTCAAACCATAATATAACATACTGCTATTGCAATGGCCAAGTAAAATGAAGATATTGTCTCAGCCAAAACAGCAAAAGACCAATGAAAACATTGAACTATTAAATGATATTTGGTATACGGATTAGCCAATCATCGGAGTCTGGATGACCTTTTTAGATTTATCAACATACAATCGAACTCGCTGGGTTTCGTAATCACAAGTGATAAGATAACCAGGCAGCACCACTCGAATTTCAACCCCAGCCATCTCCTCCTTTATCTTTTTCTCTGCTTCTTCTGCAGTGACTCCAACCAGCTCAGGCCAACTTGTTTTTGTAGGATTATTTGTCCCCAGAAGCTGGTTCTTGGACCCTGCAAAAACACCTTTATATACCACTTGGTGAATTAATTTGGCTTTGCACTGAATATTTGGAAACAATAAAATTAACACTTACGTCGCAAGGGCTTTTTGGGTTGCTCTTGAGGAGGATTAGTTCCTTGTCCTTGTTTTCCCTCAGCCATAAATACCAAACGCCCGAACACTCCTCAAAGGATCCTTTGCTAATCTTTGAGGGGGATGAAAGTTATCTCAAGCCGAAACCTTTAAGTAGGGATTAAGGAATCTATGACCAAACAGAGTTGGTTCTAGGTTGGCACCTATTTTGGAAATTTGTTTCATGAGACGAATATGCTGGTTTTTCCAATGCCATGTGCGTCGAATTTGTGGTGTCACGTAAGCTAACTTGGACTAAATGTTTGGCGTATATAATGGTGTTGACATGCAGATAATTTATTAGCTCTGAAGAAAAAAACAGGGTTTCAAGAGAATCAGTCTAGATAATATCTTTGTTCAAGCTAGTATATATATACCTTAAGTAATCAAAGTAAAAGGGAAGCTGTCAAAATTTATAGGTTCAAATTCAAAAATAATTCTATTTTCAATATGAAATTTACGGCCTGGAATAGAAGTTGCAGCCCGGAAACCGATAAACTGCATTTAAGTTAAGTAACGTAGAACGCATTAACATACTTTGTATTCAAAGTAAAATGCCGTGTACTTGTGTTCAGCGAAATGAATTTCAATACCAGGAAATACCCGAATCAGAGATTCAAGCCACGTGACGTTTGCATGTTCACTCTGCTCCAGAGCTTCTTTTGCCTTTATGTCATCATTGAACATTCTCAGAGCACCTATTGTTGACAAAGCGTTCACTAAATAAAGGAAAATGGAGTAAAGTCTACAATTCAGAAGGAGAAATGACATAAATAGTAAAGAAACCTTTGGTTTGATTTCAATCTACCTAATTAAATTTCAGCAATGGAAGAGAAAGAGACCAACTCCCTTTACATTCTTTATTTTTTCATTCAGTACCAAGGTACAACCACTAAACGAACAATCCTACTTATTTTACATCACTTTGTTACCTTCTCATTTGGCATGAGGCAACAAGTCAGAATGTGATCATAGCACACATTCTTTAACACCAAAAACTAAGTATGTTCAACTATCCTGATCTCCATTAAAATCCCAAAAGCAAAATTCAGAAGCCAACTCAGCTTGCCAACAAGAGGCTTGATAGTAAATCTCGTTACCAAGCATATTTCAAAAGGGATATGGTGGTTCAGGCATAATCTCAAACAAGTTAAGAGCAATTAAACAAACATCAAAAAATTACATTAAAGTAACAGTTTGTCCCATCTCATAAGACAATTCCATCCTGGGCCAACCAACAATCCACATTTCAATTGAGAGCAAAAAATTAATAGACATTTTCTGCCACAAAATAAAATTTTAATTCAAGAAAATGAGAAATCAATATTCGTTATTAGATGTGATGATGAACTTCTTTAAAAATATTTATTCACCGGGCTTTGAAAAGTATATTTCAGCCACATTTCAATTAAATATTTTCTTGATGAGTACAGCTGCATTTCGATTTACAAGTTAAAACTACCTACGTTATCTATTTCCATTGGATAAAATAGGTGATCAAAGATAACAAGACAAATAACAATCCTAATGTTGAGCTCAAATATGATATTCATGTTATATAATTTACAATTTAAATCGTATCCAACTATGTCCCAAGCAAATAAGAACAATCATATGTGGGGTTTTTACCCTTTTAATCTTCCAATCTGGTATTTAATTCTCGGTATTTATCAATGCAATCTTTAGTGTCGGGGGGTCCCAACTATACCGAGTGTAGTGATTCTTCCTCCAGCACTCACATAACTTTTTTTATTTAGCTGAGTGTCGCGACAACCCCCTCTTCGGCACTCACACGATTGTGTGCCACGTGACACAATCTCGTTACCATAAGCAATACCGTTACCATAAAACTTCAGAAAATCATAACTTTTGATTAGATATCCAAGTCAAATGATTTTTTTTATTTCACATAACTTTTCATGATCTACGTAGTAACATCTCATTTGGCATATTTTATCTCTCTTAAACATAATTCGAATTTCTAACAAAGGTACCAAAAATCACAAACATATTTTAGACTTATATTTGAAGTATTTTCATGTGTTTAATAAATATATATATATATATATATATATATATATATATATATATATAGGGGCACGATATACGTACCACAAAAAAAGTTTACCACTTTTACAACTGATCAGACCAAATACAATATGGGCTGGCCAGTATGTATCAAGCCTAATCACACACGGTTGAGATGTGGACTGTTGTTCTTTGGTCTTGGGCCTGGAGTGGGAGTTGGATCTTACTTCGTCTCTGTCCTTTGCTGTAGCGCGATGAATCCGAATAGGTGGGGTACCTGAAAAGACACTCCGATGCTTAAGTCAGTATCAGAGGCAGGAGTTTGTATGTTATTAATGTAAAGAATCATCATACCTTGGTGTTGTACCATTTGTTTATATAGTGGTTATGATTCCGCTTTAGCAAGGCGGCTTGGCCTCTGAGTGGCCAGTCTTGGGCTGCAGGTCAGTGCTAGGACCTGAGTAGCCTTATCTCCAGTCGTAGAGTCGCAGCAAACTGGAGTTGTATGTCTGTTATTAGAATAAAGGCACGGTGGGATTGCCTTGGGCCTTAAGTTAGCTTCCTTAAGGGGGTTTTATCCGCGATATGTGCATCGCGTATTGTCCAGCGCGATGAGTGCATCGCATCTTATGCACTATGTTTGTCCATCGCGCTTGCTCTGGATCCTTAATGGGTTTGGGCTTCTCCATATGTCACAGGGCCTCTCATGGGCCTATATTTTATCCGGATCAACAACCAACCTAATCACCGTTGATTTCCGTCAATCTAACGGTTATAATTTATTGAGAATTAATAATTGATTAATAAATGCGACCCAATAATTTTCAATAAATTATAATCCTTAGATTGACAGAAATCAATGGTGATTAGGTTAGTTGTACAGGATTGTAAACTTTTTTGTGGTAAGTATATCCTTCCCTATATATATATCCTTTGACACCAGATCCTAACTGTTAATATCTTCCAATCAACGGTTATGATTTCCGCCACTCAAACTTATTAATTAATTCTTAATTTTCTATAAATGATAACCGTCGATTTGCGAAAAAATCAACGGTTAGAATTTTGATGTCAAATTTCAAAGATTGACACCGGTGTCAAAAAATCCTGCCTATATATATAGGGGCAAGTTATATTTACAAACATTTTTGTTTACAAACTACACTATCTTCTCCCGGGAAAACACTATGTTTCACTATGTTCTCCCAGGAGAAGATAGTGTAATTTGTTAAAATTTGTCAAAAAAGTTTGTAAACGGATCTGTCCCCATATATATATATGGATCAGGATATTCTTACACCGGTGTAAGAATTAGAAGTCTTACACTCAATCTTGACCATTGATCCACTTTTATCCAATGGCTCACATTACTAAAAAATTAGAGCCCATTGATATAAGAGGAATCAACAGACAAGATTTAGAGTGTAATTTATACTTGTGTAAAATGATCCTGACTCTATATATTATATATATATATGAAAAATATATTTCTACAGCCACTTTAGATAAAGTTATCTACAACTACCCTTTATAACTATGTACTACCGGTAGTACATAGTTATAATATTAAAGTTATAAAAGGGTAGTTGTAGATAAATTTATCTAAAGTGGCTGTAGAAATATTTACGCTTATTTATATATATATATATATATATATATATAGATATATATATATATATATATTAGGTTCCTCGATTTTCAAACAATTTGCTTAGATTGTAATTAATTAAATTTCTGGATGTTTTAAAATATATATTAATTAATTATATATATATATTACGCCTATTCAAAAATTCGTTTTGTGAAGAAAAGAAAACGAAAAAAAGTGGGAGTAAAAAGGAAGAGTTGCAATTAATTAGGTATGAGTTGCAATTCTATATTTGAATAATGTAAATCGGAACCATGTTCAAGAAAGTAAAAACAAAAATTTATCCGTAATTATAAATCAATTATTGTGATTGCAGCTGCGTTAAATATCATAAACAATATTAACAAATCGGTTATAAAACGGGGTGTTACACGAATCGTGAAAGTGATTGAACATATGAGTTCTTCTTGATAAAATCTTCAAATAGACACCTTACTCGCTAAAGTCCGAAACACGAAGCTACAACTTCAAGATTATTAGAGGTTACAGGTTTTAGAGAGAAGAGTTTAGAGCTGCTTGAAGTATTACACGTAGAGACATAAAATTTGGAATGCTCAATAGGGTTACCTTCAACTTAGGAAACCCTAGAGATAATGCAAATTATTGAGCTCTGTCCCATATAAGACCAAATAATCATATTTTCCCCTATTGAACTTATATATGAACATATTATTGGATTATATTATTAATATATCCAACAACAAATAACAGCAATCATATGTGACTTTAAGGTTAGAATAGTGAACATCAATCTATGGGAACCAAACAACCTTAATTTTTCTTAAGCAGAAAATTAGAACAAATTTTACAATATACAGGCGGATGGAACAAATTTACCACAAGAACCTTCTTATTGGTTTATATAGAACATAATGTAGGCCAAGGTTCCGGTCAAACCATACTGCTGTTGCAATGGCCAAGTAGCATGAAGATATTGTCTCAGCCAAAACAACAAAACACCAACGAAAACATTGAATTATTAAATGATATTTGGTAGACGGATAAGCCAATCATCGGAGTCTGGATGACCTTTATAGATTTATCAACATACAATCGAACTCGCTGGGTTTTGTAATCACAAGTGATATGATAACCAGGCAGCACCACTTCAATTTTAACCCCAGCCATCTCCTCCTTTATCTTTTTCTCTGCTTCTTCTGCAGTGATTCCAACCAGCTCAGGCCAACTTGTTTTTGTAGGATTATTTGTCCCCAGAAGCTGGTTCTTGGACCCTGCAAAAACACCTTTTTATACCACTTGGTGAATTAATTTGGCTTTGCACTGAATATTTGGAAACAATAAAATTAGCACTTACGTGGCAAGGGCTTTTTGGGTTGCTCTTGAGGAGGATTAGTTCCTTGTCCTTGTTTTCCCTCAGCCATAAATACCAAACGACCGAACACTTCTCAAAGGAACCTTTGCTAATCTTTAAGGGGGATGAAAGTTATCTCAAGCCGAAACCTTTGAGTAGGGATTAAGGAATCTTTGACCAAACAGAGTTGGTTCTAGGCTGGCACCTATTTTGACATTTGTT